TTTTTCCGCTCCGATGAGGAGACCATTCATCTGTAGGACATCCAGTGTTGCTAAGGATAGGTCGTGAAAAAATTGTCACTGGAGCCACAATAAGCCAGGCTGCAAAATACAGACTTTTTCGAAATCGGGAGTGCAGAGTTTAGCGTTTGGTTGTGAACCAGGCCACGACCCGATTCAAGTTTAATCCCTCAGTGATACATATCTCCAAGATAAAGGTCAAAGGTCACAATGGGACTTTATTGGCTCGGTCGTAACAGAAGATGAAGGGATAAGGTTTTTACTGTCTTTCTCCGCTTTGTCTAAGGACGGAGAATTACTCAGCTCGAAATCACCTGTGCACACCATTTGTAAGACAGGAAGTGCCAAAGGAATAGCAGATATTTGATGTCGTTCCTGTCTTCAAAATAGATGTTATATCTGAATATCAGCCAATTATCAGAGTGCCCGTTTGATCATGATCGCTTCCAAGTTGCCCACAGATATGATCCCACGCAGGAATACCAGCACCTTTGTGAGGAGAGCCGTGAAAACCAAGCAGAGTTCCGTTCGGGTCGTGGCTGCATTTACCATATCTCTACCTCACGACAACTGCTGGAGCATCGTCACACAGAAAAACAATAATTGTTGTTCTCATGTCTGAACGTAATGTCCGGCTCGGTCGCGCTGCTTTGTGGGGATGTCTATCTTTCAATGGTGTGCCACGCATTTTCTTCACAGTCCTCCAACCATCATACTATATACCTGCGGGCGCGTTAAGGTCTGCTGGGAATACTCTCCCAACATGACCAAAAGTGGTGCCCTTCAGGCTTACTGTTTGTCACCTTTTCTCCATAACCTAATAGTGGATTAATTAAGTGAGAAACTTTTGTTGTCTTTCACCCTAATTTTGGACCTTCTTTCCTGGGAAGCCCTTAAATTCATTGAATATTTGGCCAATGTTGCGCTACTTCTTTCAGTTTCCATTCAGATAAGAAACACACCAAATAACCTAAGTGATGTTACCATGCGTTTCGAATTGCGTCTCTCACCCTCAAAGTACGAAGTGCTATTATACGACTGGGCGAGCGCGCCACTAAAACAGGCTATGGTGTCAGAACCAAGTTACTGTCTGATTTCGTTTCCCCATCCTGCTGCATTCGGGGATTAAGGCGACCCGGTCGATGGCATGATTTCTTCTTCCAGGATGGGGACCGCGTGATCCTCGCTGTGCCTGGTTGGAGACACTACAAGATATGGCTGGCACCCGATGTCAGTGGCGTTCTTGTTGTCAGTTTCTGTCCAGATTGCCTGAGTGAATTTCTGGAGGTGTAGGCACCTCGGAATGATTGTGTTAAGCTAGCACTAAGTCCCTCCCCCATCCACCTTTATTCTTTTCTTTACAATAAGGCTTTCAAATAAGTCATGGCTGTACGGCAGTGAAGCATTGGTGTTGAGCACTGATGTCATGCTGTCGTTGATGTGATGGATGATGATAGACCAATCACTACTGCCTCTAGCCGCTAGGAGACCGCAGGTGGTATGTCAGTGAGATGACATTACGACACTTAGCTCACATGTCGTTGATGATGATGATGATGATAGACCAATCACTACTGCCTCTAGCCGCTAGGAGACCGCAGGTGGTATGTCAGTGAGATGACATTACGACACACCGTTAGCTCACAAGGAACTAGGTTCTGTTTCGTAGCACTGAAGGTGTTGCAGTGGCTAACCTGTAGTTCGGATCGAACCCGTTGTAAAACTACGGGTACAAGTACAGGGGTGCTCAAATCAATGTATGTGAATGTCATTAAGCGCTGTTGCAAAAAAATGAGTCAAGATGTTAGCAAAATACACTCATTTCCAAGTAAATTTGGTTTTGCGAGAGATTCATATGGAACCCAGCTGAACCTCTCGTTTGTGATGTTTTCAAGCGACTGAATGTGCTGCACCAGGCCGCCTCAAGTTTCACTTGCTACAATATTCGAGATATCGCGATACATGTACATTCGTAATGCACTACTCATAAGGTTGCTGGAGATTCATCGAGATGTTTTCCGGGCAGTAGCCCGTACGCCAAAGCACAGCATATGGGTTCCGACAAGATAAGGTCGAAACAAATCGTTCTGACATGGTAACAACTTTCCAGTTTTTCGCTGCATGAGCCAAGTTCTTCAATGTCCAATTTATTTGTGAACCGCTTTCGTGGCCCCATTCCGAACCTACTTACCCAAAATTCACTCAAGCATATAGAAACAGATACATCACATAAGACAGTGGTGATCCTGTTATCTCATCACGAAACGTGTATCACTTTGTCCAAAACATTCCAAGACCAACTGTCTCGAATAGGGTTGGATCATAAACTGATTGCAGGATGCGTGACATCGTTCAGCTGTAACACCCTTTTGGTGCCTAACTGCCACGCCACCAGAAGGAAACACGAGGACTGAGATATTGCCAGGTTGCCAAAGCCTAGACAGGGGAAGTCGAAAGGTAGAGGACGGGTTCGAACCACGGGCCTTCCGGGAAGTAAATTCGCGCTCTAACCACTTGGGCCGTCTCGCCCCCGTCAGTTCAAAATGTCAGGCTTGTACGTTTAAAAATACAGCTAAATTTTGACACCATTTTGTATATTCGTCCACACTTATATGTACTATCGTCCCCTCTAGATCATTACTTATTACACCAATAACGTTCATAAATACAAACCTGGGAGGATAGTCCAGGCGCACAATACTATGACTGTTTGCCGTAGAGACCCAAGGCCAACCATGTAACTGAACTCGAACCATCACATTATTCACTCCTGTCCAGGGTACAAGGGTGCTCTTTATCCATTTCCCATAGGAAGCGATTTTATATAATTCGTTTATGTATAAAAAGTAATCATGGGTTTGCTGACAGATCAAAAGCAACCCTTAATTTCCAGAAAAAATGGTTTTATTGTCGATGAACATAAAATGTAACCGTATTTATCAGTGAATTATCCTTTACTCTAACGAAAGTGATCAAGGAAGATGAGAATTGCAAAACTGTACAAAGATAAAGTAAATCAAAATGAACGGCCTATAAAACGCAAGCATCGAACACTGTCCGGATTCACAGCCACCATTCTTTGCCCTGCACTTCCGGTTGCCCCGTTTGGCCGAACTGAATCGCCATGTCAGCTGTTTGTACTTGCGATGCTCCCTTAGCTTCTCGTGTCTCATAGTCCCCGCGTTCGAATGTGAAGTGACGACAGAAGAGAACCAGTAGAACTATGGTCAGCATTAGAATGAGTCCCGTGACAACTGGAAAAAACAAAAGGTCATAAGTTTCAGTGTTGGACAGACAAGAGTTCCAGGAAATTCGAACTCGTTTGAAGATTGCCGTTCACCCTTTGTTCCTACGATCTCAAACACCTTATTCCAGTTTTGGGATGAGTTTGGACTAGAAAATTGATTGTAGTTTGAATAAAAGTTTCAAGAAGTATATTCTTATGTCCTTATTACCGGAAAGCAGATGCACAGATTATCAGGATGGTGACCACAGCCAACTTAAAGGTACCCATGAGAGGATTACCGAAACGGTAATCCACGCTTTAAACCACTAGGCTGTTCGGTTGAAACCAAAATCTATTTCTCACAAACACAGTTTCATTCCATGTCAGCGACGAAGTATAGGTAACCGCAAGCATGGTTCCAATAGGTGACACCGAGACCCTCTGGTCAAACAAAATTTATGAACTATCATTTCTTTGTGTCCATCCAAGCAGAATCGAAATTCGATCAACATGTTGCATGACTAAAACTTGTAAATTGTCACTCATTTCCCACGATGGGGGTTTCCAATCGACGGCAAGTTGACGTAATGCAAAAGTAGCTTTCATAAACTCTGAACGACAAACATGTATGGATAACATGAAAGGAAAAGCAGACGCTTCTTCAACGCGAAAAAGATTAACAGGTATGATAAACGCGCGGAATAATTAGACCGCACAAAAGTTTCTTCTGACCTTAAGACATTCATATTCACCGATGGGGAATTGATCTGTGATCTCCCAATTCTCTTTCGAATTATGCGATAAACCCGACTGCTGTTACATTTTGTAAATGAACACTCGTTGCCTTTTTGCCAGTACGAAGATCAGCTTATGGTGAAAGTTCCGCTGAAACACTCCATTCTTCTTCATGGTTGATTTTTGTTTAAATTTTGGAGAAAAGGAGTGACCTTATGAACGCCAGTAAATTCTCATTGGCTGACGCACTTACCTCCGGCAATAATGCGTTGTTCGCGTTCCTTCTCAAAAGCCTGCGCAGGCGGGGTTATATTTGTTGGAATCGCTGGTGATGGGCGGATTTCCAGAGGTTCGGCTTCAGGTAATATTTCAATGAATCCACAAAGATCCTCACGAACTGAGGCTGAAAAAAACAAGGGCAGTGGTGAGGTTGCGTTGAGTTCGTCCTAAATTTCATGTATAGGTGTATGCTGGAGTGGAAACTTAAAGACTCGTGATAAAAAATTGGGAACTGTGACAGTTGCTGGACGTGACACTGGACAATCAGTTTGTATTGCTTCTGTGCACAAAACTACTAACTCCTGTATCAGAAAGGTCACTGTCCCTCGCTGATAGACGTCTTGTAACCCTTCGCGAGTCTTTTAAACCCCTATTTAAACATCTTTATTCCTTATTACGCCCCAATACGGGGTAACACGGCCTCCTTAGCTGCACGACAGCTAATCACCTGTTCGCAAGAACCAACTGCAAAGGGATGTGCGCTTGAATCACAATTTTGGGCCATGTCTACTCACATTTTCCCAGCCTAATGGACGACTACACGTATTGCTTTGGGTCAGGCGGCCATTATTTAACTAGTGCACGCTTTCCCCACCCACACATGGCTACATACTTTCACTTATCGCTCATTTTGAGTCCTCAATTCAGGTCAGGATACACCACTTTCTCAAATGAATGACTGTACCGAACCACGTTACACCCTCGGTGGACTCAAGAATACTCTCGCTTCATACTTATCTTGTTCCGTTTCAATTCCTTGTCCAATCATAGCCACCCTAACAACCTTAAATGACTCCCCCAAGAAGTCATGCGGAGATTGTGTTCTGAATTCGGATGAGTAATACAGATATTATGAACACAGATATAAGTACAACCTCCGTATGACGATTTCCAATGTTTATCTGCTTTTTCGCGCTATCTGTAGTCAGGTCTCCTGTCAGATCTTCCCCTCCCATAACGGTTCCAAAATGTAGCTTGTGGAGAACCCGGAAACAGAGGTCTGCTGTGCTATCGTCGAACGCTACCGAATTCACTCTACGAACAAGCGAACCGAACGCTTAATTTCAAAATCAAAGTAAGACACCTTTCAATTGAACCTCAGTTCTGAATATTGAACGATGATTCGGGACACTGCAACACCACCAATATGAAACGACGGCAGAGGAGTCAAATGAAACTTGCAATATCCATAATAAAATCAATTTTGTCCCGCTGTGGACAAAGAAGACTGTTTGTTCAGGAATATCCTGGAAAGTACAGTCCCTGTAGTCGCCGCATTGACGGGGCCTCGGTGATTTTTTTCTTCCTATATTAAGTCATTACCGTATATTATTAGCACTCATGTCGACTTTTGTAAAATAAGCGGACCAACTAACCATAAACAACCTGTGATTAGTTCCTTATTGTCTGCACAGTAACAGGACAACTTTAAAAGAGATTTAAAATGACTATATAGGTAGGGCGGTTACAGGGTTTTCACACATAGCATTTCTAAAAAAAAAGAAGACTGTTAATTACTTTATGCGTTGAGTATCAGTGCACTGGAAACTCTAATCTACTTATAAACGTATCCTGATTAGTCAGCATTTTGAGCTCAGGGAACGCAAAATCGAAGGCGAGACTTAATCCAAGTTTAATGTGACATGATTCTGCATGCCTAAGATTATTAGACCGACGCATTTCAAAACATTGCATTTATCTGGACCCGTCACTCTCATGGGACAAATTATCTGGTCAAAACATTTCATGATCATCAAGTGATGAGACTTCAGGATGGATGGTGTGGAAAGGATGGGTTCTCGCTGGTAAACTGGAACAAAATGTGATTCAACACCAAAACGTTCAAGATCCATCAATATCGTGTGCGTATACCAGTTGCTTGAGCATACTGCCGACAACTGATCAAGAGGTAAATGGTTTGAAGGAGTAAATGGAAGGGCTACGTGACTGACTCATTCGCATCCACTTGATGAGGGATGGGCTGAATTGGAGCTAGCCATAGCTTTCTCTTCAGCAAAATACAACTAAATAACTGTACTGGGATAGAGCGGGGAACCATCTTTGAACACTATTTATTCTCCTTCAGTGACATCCACACCGAAGATGTTAAGGAGAGGTATTTTGCTTACTAAGGGACACAACCCCTATACATATATATATATATATACATATATATAAATCGTTCAGCTGTAGCACCCTTTCGGCGCCTAACTGCAATGCCACCCATAGGAGGCACGACGGGTAGGATACTGTCAGGTTGCCCAAGCCTAGACAGCGGAAGTCGAGAGGCGGAGATCGGATTTGAACCATGGACCTTCCGGTCAGTGTATTCGCGCTCTAACCACTTCGGCCATCTCACCCCATATATATATATATATATATATATATATATATATTCGTTATGAAGGGCGATCCGTTGTTCTCCGATGTTATTGAAAAGATATTGTGGAACACGTGAGGTAAACATCAGGATTTTACCCTTTGACTGAGTGGTTTTTCAAGGTAAGTCGGACTTCATCCCTCAGAGACGGAGACTCACGAGAATATACTACTATATTTGGTCCCAACACGCATTTGCTTGCTCAGTTTGTTAACTCATAGTATGTTCTACCTGGCATCGTTCCTAGAAAGTTCGGTCGTTATAGAATGCCAAAAACAGCCATCAGCTCAGTCTCTAAAAAGGATAAAGATTGCCCCCAGACATAGTTGAGGCTATCATGAAAAAAGTGGAATGTAAACTTTCCTGAGGAATGACTTTTCATTAATCTTTCACCGGATCGCGAGTAAGGGGGAAACCTACTGTATGCTTCCCATGAAGGTGGTCTAACTTCCTAAGGGTGTCCAAGGAGTCATTATTGCAAAGCAGATATGTCGGAAGTTCAACACATCGTCCGACTTGATAGTCAGCCTTTTACTCAGTGGAGACAACAACAATTGGACCAACTAGTTTTGTCTCCAATTCAAAGCGCTTACCGTTGGGGAACATAAGTACGTTGGGCAATGGTGGGTCTTGATAGGCCATGTGCAAGGGGAAGAAGTTGTTCCACTGAGCAGCATAAATGCAGCCATCAAATCCGTCGGCTGCTTGCATGGTAGTATTGCGTCCCATGAAGATCACCCACGGGTCGTCAAGGCGCACATCAGCCGAAGGCGATAGGTAACTGGTGAAGTCCTCCACTATTTCATTGTAGTCATCGACCTGTGAAAAACCGGCAGAATGGCCGGACCAAATTATGGATAGGAGGGATTCGTTCTGACAACAGAACTGGTAAAAACAAAACTCACGAGGAAAAAGGTCTGGCTTCCTGCTCTGAGCTAGGCAACTAACTGAAGCATGACTTCGGACGATATCAAAATTACATCGATATACACTCAAACTTTATCCAAGCACCCCTCAGCTCAAGTAGCCAACTCATTTAGTGGATACTGAAGTCGATCACAAAAGTTGTGAAGGATATTCAGTGCTTTCTGCCATGTTGCACCACAGTTCGGCTGTAGGTTTGTGCGCAACTGTGCTTCAGAATTCGTCACAGTGCAACTCGGCACTCATATGATCGACGCTGTGATTGCATCTAGACACAACTAACTTAACTGTTTTTCTTCCCTCTGTAATCGTTTTCTAACCACACCTTCTATGTCATAACCTAGTCAAGCTATCTGGAATTTCGATCTTCAGGAACGCTATAAAGTACGTGCAAGTCTTACAGAAGATGTCACTAACAGGATTTATTGAACCGATATTGTTGAAATGAAAGGCTTAACGCCGGAAAAAAAACATTTTTCTTGAGTGATAGGTTATAAAATTATGGCCTGTCCGGTATGTATGATCCAATACGGGGTACAACCTAATGCCGGAGGCTGAGCACAAGACTTTCTCCTCATAACTAGGACTGGTAATGTGTTGAAATATTGGTGGCTCGGGTGAGTTTATTGGTTGTTGACTAGAATTGTCAACTAGAATTCCATTTAGTACTGTTTTTCATCTAACAGTTATTGCCCTTTACTTGTCTGGTAGAACTTCAAAAGAGCAGAACAATAATGTTTTGTGACGCAAACGTCTAACGAGTGATCTCCACGTAAGGAGAATTTTCTACGATCTGCCCTAAAACTTCATGTGCACATTTGTAAGAACTTTATGCATAAAACTGACCGATGTGGCTTGAATCACTCCTGCTAAGTGCACTGTTTGTGAGCATAAGGCTTCTCACAAAAGTAGCTAATGAATGACAAACAAGTGATCAGATCCGAACAGTCACGAGCACGCACTACAAGAGGCCTCAATTCATGCTGACAGCATGCGCCCACATTCATACCACGTTTTTATTCTTTTCTCGTAGCAAAGACCGGAGTCAAACTAAAGCCTTGATCGTCTAGAAGGTGAACCCAGTGTGTGGCGATACTCTTGTGAACAGAGACAGGCTGTGACTTGTTATAGGTCCAGTTGTACGTAGCCTCCCTCTAACCAGACCCGAGGGTGCTGTAGACCCCTGCACATGTATCTGCGTGTATGTACGTGTGCTTGAATGCAATATGGTATGGTTTCCAACTGCTGCTGCTCACGTTCTCAGCGCAAAGTGACGATGAAATCGCTGGGGTTGACTCACTGTAATCATGATCGTCATCATGAGCAAGATTAGACCGGTATGGCTTGTACGCGTTTAAAGTACTGCTCTTGTTGCTAAGCTCTGATCTGAATAAGGCTGTTCTAAACATTTTCATTGAGCTTATCCACCTTGTACTGTAATATTCTTAAGATAAAAGCCAACCGTCTGTCATTTGTGGCTTTGAAGAATGTCCGTAAACAAGGGCTTTTGCCCAACGGAATTTTATGATTATTCCCCTGGCTTTAAATCGCCCCGCAGGTTAACAGAGAAGTCCAAACAGTGCCTGAACCTACCAGAAAAGTTTTCGTTCACATGAAATATCTTACCATAATGGTAAAAAAGGGCAGTTTGCGTAAAGTTTATGAACTGGGTCTGTTGCCTTGGCAGGTCAAGGCCGAACAGGCAGATGCTGGGAGGCCCATGGAGGTAGGCCGAATGAGCTCCGCATTTCGGTAAAGTGAATCATCCCACTTCTATCGTGCTGGTGAGTCAGTAAGTTACCACAGGGTTTCGTCGCCGGTATTTGTTAGCGAAGACAAGATGCCCACACAGATTTGTAATCTTTTGTACTCCCACGTGTGTTGGTGATGGTGTATTCCACTAAAAGATGAGATAGTTACCCCACTACATCTGAATTAATGCGCCTGTCAAGTAAGATATGGACGGAGAACAGCTGAAGTCACAAAAAACTCCTTACCCAATTTGAACTGAATCACCTTAATTAGTTGCCAGGTGATTCGATGAGATCTTCCAAAGAAGCAGATAAGATGAGAACTACAGTAGACAACATACACGTTTCAGTTTTTGCAACAGTTCACTGCTTAGCTTTAGTGACCATAAAGCACGTTCCAGTGAGACTCAGGAACACATATTAGGTGACAGAAAAAGACCACCTTGTTGAGTTCGTTTAAAGCGGTGAGTATCAGAACAGAAACTAGAGCCAAGGAGACATCCAAGGTAATAAGTCCCCTATAAGCCCTTCTTATCACATCCAGACCTGTGCAAACCAAGTGCGATATGGCTGAACTTCGACACCCCTTTCCATATCCACACCCTTAGAATAAACTGTCATTATTTTATTCCCCGGTGGCTGTACATGAACTAGATCACTTGGGTCAAAAGACCCGTCAAACATTTAGCATTTGGCATCGGTTGACAAGCAGCACGAAGGTGGTCAAATTGTGTAATCTACGTACAGCCCTGAACCTTGTGCACACTTGGAATGCATCCATTTCATAAAACTGAGTTGGTCTGGTGATTCCGGCCTAGCGCCTAGCACTAACGCATATGAAACCATATCTTCCGTATAGCACAGAGGATTACCTGCGTGTTAGAGGAACTTTGACCCGGCAAAAACGCGCATTGCTTTGTTCCATCACGCTTACCACTGAAGGGGCAGGGAACTGAAAACAGCTAAGCTGAAATGAAACGGATTCACAGCAATTCTCGAACCTGAGATTTTTTAATAAAGTATTCGGTGATAAAGGAATGTTTGCTCATGCCATCTCCAATTCGACGTTTTTGCCTGACAATGGTTTCTCAGAAATGGACTAAACTTGGTTCATTTACGAAGAACATCAAGTGCATTGAAAAGGTGCGCAGATTCCTGGAGGAACCTAGAAGTCCCGTATACGGTTCACACAGCTGGCCTTGCAAACCTTCATTCTTACGTTTTCTCTTCAAATTTGATCCAGTCAGTGAAACTCTGGTCCGAAGACCTAATAGAACTTTTGAAATAACGGTCATCACCACCCGCCTACTAATCAGACAATATCTGAAGGATAAGCCCCCTTTACGGGACATCCTTGTATGCTAGCTTAGTGCGATTGTGCTAGCCCCAAATACTCACGGGATGGTCCGACGGCAAACAAATCAGTTTAGGGAACGGAATGTTGAAACATCATTTCTTCCAACAGCTCTCTCGTGCAGGAGCAGAAGTGAATCAGTGAAAACCGTGACCAGTGTGATTGATCTGGTCGATACGGGCAACTAATTACTTGAGGTAAACTAGTCAATGTGCTGGATAAATATTAGCCGTTTAAATATTACTTGTCGAACGAACCAGAAGCAGCCGAGACGATTACCACTGGACGATAATGATAAGTCCTCTGATACCAGAAAGTTATTTGACGGGACTGTTCATACGTCTTCTTGAGAGGCTGATTTTAGCACCATTTTCAACCGTTTTAACTGACAACCACAAAAGCTGTGGCTCCCTAACCCTGAAATCGTGCCTCCTTGGTAAGATCCGGTGAAGGCAACTAAGCTTTGACGTTAGGTTGGAATATTCGATAAACCCAGGTCGCAGATGACTCAGTATGCTCTTTGCTATGGCCTGTACAGTTCACTGATTTATTTGAAGTTCCAGAGTTAGGTCAAACAGCCAGTACGAATCCGGGCATCATATATGATATCCTATCCCGAACGTCAGGAAACCCCAAAAGAGCTATTGGCAATCCCTTGAATTTGATTGATCAAATTACTCACCAATTACGGTGCACCATCCAGAGTCTTCGTCAACCCCCACTGTAAAAAAGCCCCAGAAGAGTTTCCAACCAGACATGTTAATTATCTACCTAACAACTCTCCATGTGACGGCTGTGTAGTTGTGTACTGCATTCAGTTATTCATCAGTAGCTGCATGAACCTTCACGTTACTTTATGTGAACACTACTTCACAACCCAACTCCCTCTAGATACCTTGCGGCCGAAACTTGCTGACTGTTAATACTCTGCAGATATTTGATAACGGATTTCGTTACTCATGCACCAGAAAAAATCTAACGAATAACTAACCTTTAAATGCCACTTTGTGCCCATATCCGTACGCCACGCATAAACCATATGGTGCTGATCGTTACACAGATCAATATCGTAGTTGGTAGTCACCTCAAATCGCTTGAAACCGACATCGAATTCAATTGTGATTCCCCCGTTATTGTTTACTTTGACGATGATGTAGTTCGTGTCACCGGCTCCACGCATTTCCATCAAGATGCCACGCTTTGACTTAGTTTTGAATCCAACTTGGATGTATTCCTCTACAGTGCCCAGTCTGTCGTGCGGCCGATCCAACAAAATCATGATCATAGGTCCGTTATTGAACGTTCCACCCACCTCTGTCAAAGATAGAAGTGTCATAAAATCTCACACAATGATCTAGGATTCACTGACTAAAAACTTTAGATGGTTCATGACAAAGACATAAACGCCCTTGGCAGACATAAGTGAAGCAAACCCGTATAAGATACTCGTGAGTAGTCAAGAATAATGAGAAATTGAACCCTGCAGTTTCATTTGTGCGCGTTTCAGTGAACAGAACATCATCAAAATACACTTATTTGTAAACAAATTTGGTTTTGCGGGAACTCACATTCAAGTTGCTTGAAGAAATTATAAACGACAGATTCCGGTTGACGGAAACTCAGGGACTGTGCCTACTTGATGAGCCCCAAGAAGAATGAAACCGGTCGTGGGCTGTCAAAGGATTTTCAGCAACCTTATGAGTAGTGTATTGCGTCTAAACAGAACATCAGTTTCACGTGCCTTCTGGACAGTTGGTGGTAAAAAGGGGTATGTCAACGTATTACTCCGAGCTCTTCGAACCGTGCAAAATGCAAAAGAAATGGAGATACACCTGGGTTCTTTGGGAATCTGCTGCGCGATGTGTCTTTCCTGATATTCACCTGATTGGAAAACTTCAAATGACAATGCGATTTGTCAGATCATTCAGCAAAGAGATCACTGCACAAACTCCTGTGGTATGCAACTGAAGACAGGTCTTGCACGAATTCAGTGTTTGTGGTGTTATTTAATCAACTGCGTAATTCGTCCAAACTAGTATTCAGACACCAAAGTAACACGGTTTAATGTGGTACAAAACTTTAGATGGTTCATGACAAAGACATAAACGCCCTTGGCAGACATAAGTGAAGCAAACCCGTATAAGATACTCGTGAGTAGTCAAGAATAATGAGAAATTGAACCCTGCAGTTTCATTTGTGCGCGTTTCAGTGAACAGAACATCATCAAAATACACTTATTTGTAAACAAATTTGGTTTTGCGGGAAACTCACATTCAGTTGCTTGAAGAAATTATAAACGACAGATTCCGGTTGACGGAAACTCAGGGACTGTGCCTACTTGATGAGCCCCAAGAAGAATGAAACCGGTCGTGGGCTGTCAAAGGATTTTCAGCAACCTTATGAGTAGTGTATTGCGTCTAAACAGAACATCAGTTTCACGTGCCTTCTGGACAGTTGGTGGTAAAAAGGGGTATGTCAACGTATTACTCCGAGCTCTTCGAACCGTGCAAAATGCAAAAGAAATGGAGATACACCTGGGTTCTTTGGGAATCTGCTGCGCGATGTGTCTTTCCTGATATTCACCTGATTGGAAAACTTCAAATGACAATGCGATTTGTCAGATCATTCAGCAAAGAGATCACTGCACAAACTCCTGTGGTATGCAACTGAAGACAGGTCTTGCACGAATTCAGTGTTTGTGGTGTTATTTAATCAACTGCGTAATTCGTCCAAACTAGTATTCAGACACCAAAGTAACACGGTTTAATGTGGTACGGCATCAATAGAGCTTATCGGGGAATCAAATTCCGTGCAAAGTATTGTCAGAAGGAGTAGAATTCCGTGTCAAACTGCGGCATCCGAAACCAGCTGTCGACTTCAGAAAATCACACAGATATAATAAGAAATCATAGGTTTTAAGCTTCAAGGCAGCGTATTATTACTCTGGTTGGCTGATCACTGTTGATCGAGTGGCAGTAACCAGTCCTGCAAGCTAACCGATGAGCACATCAGCTTGGAAAACTGGATAAAGAAGGGTAGGAAGTGTAAGAAGACTAGACGAAAGAAGAAAGCCATGGGTTGAATAGCCTACCTCTTCCGCAAATGAACCCGCGGTAGGCGGTCAGTCCGCATTCGCACAGATAGTGTGAGTAGTGTTCAACGCACTCTCCACGATTTAGGCAAGGATTAGTGTCACACTTTGGCTTGCAGCCGGGACTGAGTCCGTAGGTAAATACGCCACGTTCTACTAAGCCGCGCATATCTTGCACCACTCCATTGATAAGAAGATTGGACAGGCAGCCAACAAAACCATCTGTGAAAGCCTGAAAACAACAGTATGGAAGAAAATGAAGCAATGAAGTGGCGCACGTACACAAAAAGTTATGGGATTCACAGCTCACCATGAACTGCCCATCCTTGCATGTATCAAATTCTATGCCTGTGTGTTTGAACATGGGTGGTGTGGAATCGATCTCAAAGATCTCTGCCTGAAAAGTCACCCAAACCTCCCATGAAATAGCTCATCAGGGTCGATGGTTAGCCGGAGGCAGGGAATATACTATTAAGGGGAGATGTACTAAACAGGAGGATGCACACAATCGAAGAGGTATTTGCTGTCGACACAACAGTACTTATAGGGCTGGCGAAAACTTCTTGATAGCCCACGGCCAGTTTCGCCAGGTCAGGTTAGCTATGACCTGAACCCAGTGATTAAAAACGAAACATTCCTTACAGATACAGAACAACCAGTTATTCCAAGGTTCGCATTCTCTCATGGAGTACGATGTACCACTTGCCAAATATAGCTGTTTCTCTGCGTAAAAGTCCTCCATCACACATTCGCGTGTAAAGACCCGCAAATGCTGATTACTATCAGGCTGACCATCGTGCAGTTTAGGCAACTCCTACGATAAGCTGTTATTTGTTCCCCGATTGGCCTGTCACATCAAACCAACCCGAGTGACACCCACGCACAGTGGGTAATACCACACATGGTTTCTTCCGAGTCGCATTCGAATCCACCCAACAGGCTTGTATGCGGTGGAAACACGAGGGGAGGAAGATCGGTCAGTTAAAAGGATGGTGCAGATCTAGGGCCATCATTATGCCCAAATTATGGTCAACAGTTGTCATAACAAGTGGGTACAATTGAATGGTTGAGACCAACAGCGCATGCAAGCAGACATCGGTGGTCCGTACCACTCAGAATACACCCTAGAGACACACATGGTTAACTGATGATGGCTACTTTTCATTTCTAACTCTTACAGCCCTTCAGCAACTAGCACGGATCATGGATCCTACGACAACGACCCCATGATGAACGGGCAGGCCCAGCACACATTTCAGCCAGCTAAAATTCCAGTAGTACTCACCTGTGTAGTACCCACCGACAGAGGTTGGTCAAAGTCGAAGCCACGGAAAGATCGTTCAATGGCTTCAACAATCACGATGGGTTCCTGAGTGTCCACACTAAGACGGGTAGACTTGCGGTTTCGTTCGAAACGCACCACATGCCACCGATTGTCGTTTAACCAACGTGCTGTCGAGACCTCAGCCAGTTGTATTCCATTCCCAACGTTAAACGCAACACGTATGGAGTTTCCGTCTGTCAAATGGAGTGGACTACAATGGGTCCGGTGTTCGTGCTAGACCACTATGTTAGCTTTTATAAGTGCCATTAAGAAGCACATTATCAACATAAAAGTATGGAAGTTTTGAACGGAACTTGAAAAAAATCCGTCGATACTACTCAATACTACTACTGGATAGCAGAAAACTTTTTCCCTCTATCCTAATCTTCTGTCGGCCAGACTTTGCGGGCCTGTGTATAGTTCCCATATAAAGAAAAACTATACAGTGGAAACCCTATGTGTCCCTACAACCGCTGTTTTAACAGATTCTGATATTACTGGTATCTGTCTTTTCGAATGAATCAGTTCTCAACTCAAGCTGTTCATTCCATGAAAAACGAAAAAATGGGTGTTATTAACATAGTGAGACGCGGTCATGTTTTAGAGGATAAGTAGCGTTCATTGCTACAGACTTGCCGTTTTTGACCTGCTATTTGAGTGCACATGAAGTACGAATACAAAAGTGACACAACATGAGCACAATGGAAGACCTGTATCGATTTCAAGTTCGACTAAACTGAAGCAAGAAAAAAGGCAAGAGACAGAAATCAGTACCACTCATCAACACAAAAGCTTGAGATTGTTGGTACTAGATTAAATTTACTATGTTAATGACTTTTTCTACAATGAGAGAAAAATCTAAGTATTTTTGACGGAGTACCAGTCAACCTTGGATGTCATCTGTTAACAATGGCTTCTAGTAAATCAAATATCTGTCATCCAGCCTTGGAATCCGACAGGTTAAACATGCGGCTGGTGCGAATGGTGCTCAAATCGTCGGCATCAATCATTGGGTCAACTGGATTGGGGCGTGCACCCTGTTCTAGCTAGTGTGTATCGGTCCGTAGCCTATTACGAGGAAGGATAGCGCCTTGACAGTGACAGGTCTGCCTGGAAGCAAACGAAGCATGAAGTGCAAAAGATATTGCGAGAAAACATAGAAAGTAGAGCGCAGAGTGTGGAATGTGTGTGCATGTGTCTACATACCGCCTGATAAACGCACTGAGGACCAATAAAGCGAATCCACTACCCAATCGGCTGAGTGTATAGGTCACCTAGTGTAATACATCAATTGCAATACTTTTGCAAGGTTCCTATGTCCTAAATTTAGCACTAGGTCCTACTTTTTTTGTCAAAATGAGAAATGATCTCAGCTCAGGTTCCAAATAACAGCGAAGCCACGAACAACAGTCCCGACGTAGTGAAATTCATAAGTAATCCACGATCAGCAAATTGGAGCGGTAAAAGACCGCGTGTTCACAAAGAAGTTACCGGTTGGTCAGCAAACTAAGCATCCTATCTTACTCCAGTATCGTGCTCTGGGAGACACAACGAAACACAGTTCTCAGTACCAGTAAATTAACCATACCACATTTGTGGTCAAACAGTCCGGTACTAACGATTCGCGGATAAATATCTCGTAGTGATGACAAATTGGCTTCACTAGAAATCTGGAGAAGACCAGTTAGAGGTATGTGTCGCTACTGAATATGTCCTAGTATCCAAATCCGACAGGATGGGAGGTCTGCAATGGTGGTAATCGTTTTTTGCACATTTCAGGCCCGTTGCGCAACGGACATATTATAACCTGGGGCTGTTAGCTATCCTGTATGTATACACCGTGACCAATGCGATTAACCAGAGAAGAGTATGAGCCGATGTCCAGAAACACCTGATTGACGATCTTCACCGAAGAGGCAGAAAAAGCCACAGACATCTGTGAGTAAGAGACCTGTGAAATACCGCACAGCCGTGTGATACAATCACATGAAACTTGTCTTGTGCTTCGATTCCTCCTAGTCGACCATCCTAAACGGAAAGATTGGTGTATTCCAAAAACCAACAAGAGAACTGTTAGATATGATATGGCGTACTTGAACCCTTCTACCGTTTTTTCTTCAAGATAGTTTTAGAAGAACTACTAGCTCTGGCTCATCGCTGCTTTCCAAATGTCACAGAAAACATGAAAAACTTACTTCGAATGCGTATTTCGAAGAACTGTTGTGTTGCACGACCGTTATTCTGCATAATCACGGCATCCGTAACAGTAGTGCGAAATGTGAAGCTCATATCAAACGCGAATTCTGAATAGAGGGGTGGCAACTCCAAGTTGGCATCGGCTCGCCGGAAAGTTACGGTATTGTCAAATAACGTATCACCGTAGCATCTTAAAGGTCCAACGTAGTATTCGGCGCGTTTATTGTCATTGAGTCCACCAGTATCACCAAATCGAACTTCTGTAACCGGAAGGTCATCCTAGTAGGTAAAGGGATTCACGTGTAACTTGGGAATGTAAAGTGATGGAACCTGTACGAATGTTTGGCAACCATTTTTCTCAGAGGACATGGAATTTATGTAGTTAAACACACAAAAACATTTAGCTAGCATGTGGGAAGCAAAAGCTACGTAAGTAACAGTCAAAGACTGTAGTGCCAATTCATGGACAGGAGGTAGCATCAGTCATGTCGTTCGAACCAGTGGAAGGGGTGTGAAATCGAAATAGTCTGGCGCCACCGAGAGCACGGTCTAACGCACATCGCACAAACCATGCACATCTGATCAATAGCACATGTTTTGTACGGATTTCGCCACCCAATATCCAAGGTGCCGCGTTACAGGTGCGCACCAACATCTGGTAAAATAAATTGAACCTTCTAAGCCCTGAAGGAAATTTACAGCATAGATTATGTTTTCAGTGTGTGTTCTAGTGTTGACTTATTGATGCAGGATATCTGGCCTCCATTCAAATGAGAGTACAAAAGTAACTACACCATATTAGTCATCGACGACAACCAGGGGTGGGCAGAAAAGTTGGGAGACGTTTAACTACTTATTAGTAGTAGATTCTCAACTAATTCCTTATAAGGCGTACGTCGGTGTGCCAGCAGCAGACCGCAGACAGGCTACTAAGCCATATAACAGCCTTTGTTTAAATAATTTCAAAATGTCTATCAGATGGACATCTAGTTTCATACTCATCAATTTTTTTACTTAACCAGTCATACATTGTTTCCGTACTGCCTGTATGTACAATTCAACCGAATCAGGTATTGGATACTAGAACCGTATTTCAACCGGAGAACTGACAGGGTACATATTATTGTCAAAACGAATCCATTGTTTGTGTATAGTTAATACGTCAGTCCACCAGAGGATACCACTATTTGGGAAATGGTACATGTAGATGGCCCTGCTCAAAGGGATTTAACGAGAGGTGATGGCTTTTGTGAACCTGTTCTGTGAGGACACTCACTATGGATTCTAAAAACTACTCATTCACCATCATTATCACCACCATTTACAGAAACACTAGTGCTCAACTCCCTCACAATCATGCAGCCTATTTAACTGAAGTATGGACCGTCGTATCTTGCGAGAAATTCCCAGATTTCGCCTACGACGTCCTATTGACGATGTAGGGCAAAACCAGCCAGCACAAGCCTAGTTTTCACCATTCTACGGCAAGTGAAGAAACCATAACTCAATCAGCTGGCTCAATCAAAAACTACCAGTTGTTTACCAAGTCCGTCTGAAATGAAAACATGACTCACCTTGAACTTCAGGAGCCCAGTATCGACCAGGGGTGGTGTATTTGAACCATCACTATCACAGTTGCACGTGACCGAGTCACCAGAGCACGTTCCGTCTACACCACAAGCACATTTCTGCAGTCCAGGTACACCACCACCCCAATAGAACTGTGGTTGGCCTTTGCGACTGACCCACCAACCCCATGCTCGATTTTCTAAAGTTGTACCACCTAAATAAAGAAGTTGAAGAAGCACCAAATAGTATGGTAGAAACTTGGAAGCCCTGGAATAAGCCACAATGGCTCCAGGATGACCTGGAGAAGCATTTCAAAGTTTGGGTATTCATTCGATCAAGCTCGGGTGTGGCGACGAAGAAATTCCAAACCATACAAAACAGTATGGTTCTGTCGTACCTTATTTGTCGCGGGCTGTCATATGGGAAACAAGAAAGCTGAGAAACCGTCAGCGCGCAAACACCCAGTTTGAGTCACATATATAGATAGGGTATTGTAAGGCAGATACACCTACTTATGAAAATTCGATCTCCGACACACAGATGACGAAGAGATAAGCCTAAATGATCCCTACATGGGAACTAATCAGTTACCCCCAACAGCAGCCAAAATGCGGTCGAAAATCAGCGTGATCGTGGAATTTCATCGTGGTAGTCTTTTGATTTTCTTTCTTTGCGTGTCCCTTGTAAATGCTGAGAAGCAGAAGCTTAGAAGAGGCAAGTGTTTTTGTCATACTGATGCACATGCAAAATTTCTACCCCGCGATATCTAAACTATGAATGCTTTTGTGTGAAAACCAGGTTCGTTACATGAAAATGCATTCAGAAGCGCCCAACACAAAAGGCTTGATATATACCACCAAATCGCACAGCATATTTTGAAAAAAAATCTTTCGAAAATCATAGTCGCCGACAAAATTCGCACGTAGTTTTAGCCACCCAGTCTGCGATTTTCTTCACATACCATCAACAATTAGGTGGCGCCTCTTTGATCCTTAATTTTGCAATACACCTAACTTGTCACAGCTTACAGATCTGTCAAGGCTTTCATATGAACTGTTTAGTATACTAGGCAGTGAGGGGTTCCGCATCATACTTCAAATTAGAGTTTGTACTTTCTAACTGAAAAAACAATGGGTAGACTTTTTGGGCAACTCACCTCCGGGGGGAAGGCGTAACAGATAGGAATTCCAACATTTGTATGTGATTGCCTGTTCACAATGAACCGCACGCCGCACCAGTTCACCCAAAGTTTCCCTGTCAGCTCGATCATAGACAAGGCGACGACGATAAGATCCGGGGGCCTGATAGCCGTCCACCATGACAGGCCGCGTAAGGTCATGAGGCAGAATGGTAATTACAGTGGTTGGATCTGCAAGGTTAGAAAATATTGCCAAATTGGCACAATACTGCTTATAAAGGTGCTGAAAATTCTACGCAAGATACTCAGTTGAGGAATACTATAAACGGAATACTCGTTTGGATTCAACTGACTCTATCATATACATGAGTGTGTGCTGTTACCTGTTTCAATCTTGGAATGTGAACTGATAGTGAACGACTGAAAAAATGAGAAAACCAACTTAGATGAATTGGTATGCCACCGTACTGAGGAACTCACCGGTAAAGTCACATGTGACTTTAATTGGCTTCAGTACCCCGGATCCATCCATATCAATGGTAATATTGATATACGCATCACGCAAAGCGTAGAACAGACCAGCTTCGGCACAAGAAGTGAAGTATTCACTTTGGTGACATACCGCGCCTGCGTAACCAGTGTCAGTGCAATTGCAGAAAAACGTGTCGCCGTTCTGATAACAAGGAGCTTCATGTTTACACGGATTTGGACTACAACGATCTTGTATTAAACAACTTCCATTCACAATACTGCGGTGACGAACAGATGGGTCTAGTTTGTCCCAGATCACATCCAGACTATTCACCCGTATTTGACGCATGCAACCTTGGAATCCGTATCGTTGTGGGCGTCCTCCACCGATATAGGAAACACGGTCAAAGCTGAGCTGAATCGATTGAACAAAAATAAAAGGCTTTGAGAAACTGCACGAGAAAATGTGTCTACTGCTTAGACATCATGGCTGAGCAAGTCTCGTGGTGGGAAATTTACTACCGAATTAATGTTTGGCGGCCCAGAAAATTAATGACTAACTCGCCTGTTTTTGGAGCAACTGGAGAAGACGTTTGCTTCAACTACAGTCTCCCGAACCTCCCCACAATGAATCTCTCCCCATCACGACCGTGTGGCTGTAGACGGTCATGGCAGTGTAAGGCTGTATTATCCTCCGTAGTGCAACCAGTTCCGTAGTATGGCCTAGCTTGCCTGGATATTTCGAAGTCCCAATATGGAAGGAATGTCCTTGTAAGCCTTTGTCTCAAGCCGCTTAAGATGAAGAAGTGTTGGTAACCTATCTGTGGTTGACAAACATTTCGATAAAACAACATTCTTAAATGGTGTCAGAGGTTCCTCTACCAATCCGATTCATGGATATGGCCATTTCAACCGCAACTATTTTCACTTATCCCAGGGTGTAAGCAACAGCCAACCGATAGATAAAACGACTGATTGGTAGACCACTACAATCGCCCACGGAAAAACTTTAGTAAAAATAAATTCAAGGTTGAACTTCGCACCATATGCAGCCAACCAGTCGTGGGATCAAAGTGCCGGATTTATGCGACTGATATAGCGCAGTTAACTCTCGCGAAGTCATCCGGAATATCACATAAAGATTAAATAATCGTATCGAAATACTGTGTGGACGATTGGTCTAAACGAGGTTGTGCTCACCCTGTATATTTTTGGGTATCTACCTCTCCACCGTTTCATGATCTGAGTCAAAAGTGAACTAATCAGGTGAATCAGACACTAACACTCCCTCAGTGGAATCTGATCATCTCGAAGCATCTCTTGGAGACCTGAATTTGCTCAAAGCCAAACATCGTGAAGCTGAATCATCGGCTAGTTTAGGTTTGAAACTATGCACAGTCATCAACAGAAAAAATAATGGATAGTCCGGTAATTATGATTCCATAAGTCCAAGGATATTGCAAACGACACCGACGAACATAAGTTTAAGTTTGCAAATATTTCCGGAGGATTCTCGGAGAATTTCAACAAATCCGCATCTTTCTTCTTATACTGGTCAGAAAAACGCTGTAACACGTAGTAGCAGAGAGTTATCAAATCCCTCAATGATTCACGAATCCACTCATTTTGAAGACTAACAGTTGCGTTGATAATAGGTGTTAAAAGATCAAGTCCACTTTGGAAGCTGGGAAAGGGTTTACAAAAATTACACCTTCAACATGTTTGGCGATATAAAAACAACTGGGCATTAAAAAAGTGCTATATTTTGGTAGTGAAAACACCGGTCAATAAGATGGCACGATAATGTAAAAATTTGTAACGTAGTTAGAAAGTAGACAAATGGTAGGAGTGTATTAATAGAAGTGTACTAATACTCACCGGCATTGTGGTCTTCTGCGTGGTAGCGTAGGTGATATTGTCCACCATTAGAATAACGCTATCTTGCGCCATATTAAACTGAATGTCATGCCATAGACCATCAGCAAAGGTGCCATCCGGAGCAGCGGGATCACGATTTTGAATAGTATACTTGATAATATTCACCCCGGGCAAAAGAATTTCCAGAATTAAGTGTCCATTATTTTCTTCCATGCCGAACTGAAATGTTTCAGAAGTTTGACCCGTTTAATAATCACGAGTGACTGATAAATGAGTTCAAACCCCATCGCAACGGAAATCTTTAGTTAGTTTACTTCAAACCCCTGTGTTACTTATCTCTCGGAAGGCTCTCTCAATAACAGACAGAAAAAGGGAATGAGCCAAATGTTACTTAGTGTGTGGGAACTCATAGTGGCTCCCAACGGTATTAAATCCTATTATCGCCCCACCGTTTCGTCCATATTTCTCAATAAGAAAAGACCCTAATCAAGTCGAAGATGAATGGGTGGTTTCATATCTCAGTTTATGCTGCATATGAATCTTGGGAACAAGGAAATGTGACTAATTGATCCATGAAATTCGGTTTGTAAATGCGATTTCTGGATAGAACCGTCATGCTAGAAAAATTGAATATTACGAAAGAACATTAACGAAGTACAACTGGACACACCTCAGGTGTGCAGAAGTTCCGAAATACCAAGGTATCTGGTGTTGTATCTCTGTTGGTACAGATAAACACACATCATTGGTATATCATGAGGTGGGGGCAACATCGGCAGAATACTATTAGCTATGGGACGGCCAGGTGAGCTTCATGCGGAACCCCTTAGTGGTGAGTAGTTAACCGATTTTTTAGTGCACTTGACTATATACGTTACACCGCCCGATAAGGGATGACGTACTTCTTCGGAGAGTGGTCTTTAACAATAACTAATCCTCATGGTCTGTTTGATTCGTGACCATTAAAGTGTTGCTACTTGACTCCATTGCAATCGTGGAAGTGTGCTTAATCCGTATGAAGATGACGACAACGCCAACGGATAGAAAAGGTACCTCGTATCATTTAGTACCTACAGAGCTCCTTTAATAAGTTCTTTTTATCAGTTGGAAGCAGTTGAAAAAGAGCTTGCTAGAGATCACAGTTGTTAGGTGAGCTAGAATAGGACGTAGCACCCTTATCCTGGCAGAATTATCCACAGTGAACTGCTTTAACGTGAACATAGTTCGAGGAAGTACGTCTGTCGAAGGGGAGTTGCTTGTTGTTGTTTACATCAAAGCACGCGGCGGCACTCAATGCATCCATCGGAAGTTCACTTGACACGATAGATTGCAAATATATAAAGACCGGGCCGATTGATTTTTCAAGTAATTAAACTTAGATAACTTTTAAACATATGGTATCAAACTTACCTTGTTTTATTATTATGTCTAGTGACCGGTTCATGTCACCAAGCCTTATTTCCTTCGAAAAACTGAGAAGTACCCTGTGCATTTGAGACGTCCTTTCAAGAGGTTCCACTGCCTTTCAACTAATGCTTGGTGTGTCCGAACAATACGTTAGTTGTGTTCATACTGTACGTATCATCAGTTGAGAGGGAAGGAGTTAAATGAACTATAGTTTTTTCAATAACCTCCAATGTCAAGGGGCTCTTCATTCGCTTTTCTGCATCACGGTAAAAAGTAGCTGCCACAACCAGATTCGAGTCTCCCGCGTAACCCACCCGTGGATAGCTGTTTCCAATTTACCTGCCCTCTACTGCAATTTCGCCAGGAATTAAAGTAGTTCCGATATAAGTAGGGAGAACCAATCTGATCTCTTCAGATTTCGCTTTTCACGTTTTCGTTTACGAACCGGAACCATATTCATTCCCCCTAATGCACATAATAGAGCTGGACAGTCCTGACTAACACCAAACATAATACTAATAGTAATAATAATAACCGTCCAGCTGTGACACATTTTCGGTCCTTAGCTGCCACGCGATCCGAAACAAGAATGACGGCTCAGATATTGTGAAGTTTCACAAACCTGGACAGGAGCAAACAAGATGCCGGGCGGATTCACACCACGGACCTCCAGTAAGTCCGCGCCTCAAGCAATGAATTATCTCGAGCTCTTTTTTAATATTACCACCCTATGTTTACCACGGACAGACGCCAGCTCTACCCTAACTCACGGAGAAGCATGAGTAACTGTAGGGTATTCGTCATATCAGTGGATTCAGGAAATGCCAAAAAGTACCACTGGGGTTTCCAGACTGGGTCGGTTACTTGTAACATTCGATCATTTTGTCGAGCTATTGAGCCGCGTAATTACGTCGGAAAAACTGTTCAAGTTTCAATTGGGACATGGATGTGGATGTCTTGGTGTGAAACATGAACCGCACAGATATAAGTAGTCTAGAGCCACAACAACCATCAACAACCTTGCTGTCGGTCAGGTCATCTTAATAAGTACAATGGGAGGACAAGGGAAAACAAGCTTGTGCTGACGTATACCGTCTTTCTTCATTATCGCCTCTGAATTCTCTTCCCTCTACATTTTGTTGGTGACGCAAGTGTAGATTTCAGCACATCAGTCTGGCAGTCTGAGTGTCGCCCGTCGTCACCGTCTTGTGTACACTCTTACAGCTCGTACCCTGCCTTCGTCACAGCTCTCGACGTGCAAGTTACGAGGTGAGTCAGACAGAAAATTGCTCGAGCGTGTATTCTGGATGCTTAATCGTGGGACGTATCGTGTGAATCGTAATTCACGCATCGCGTGATTGCCTTGGTTCCGTGATTGAAACCATCTGACTCCCACACAACCGCTGCGGAGCCTAAGTCCTTTGGCCAGCAAGGTTAGCTGTTCGTCCCTTCGCAATGTGTGAATTAAAGTCCCTTTTGCGAAGAACACTATTCTACAATCGACTGGGAAAAGCTTGTGAACAAATGAGAAGACGTCGTCCCAGAAAAGCTTGGGGACCAATGTGCGGGTTGCCTTCCACGTAGCACTAGTTGAGATTAAACAACATCAGTCGCCGTTTGTATGCCCCCGAAATATACAGTCATCCTTAACTGGACCTTGACCAAGTCTAAAATCTCCACCGAAGCAATCTTTGTTACGTAGTAAAACGTCCAAATCAACAAAGGTCATTTAGATATTATACGAATACGATAGATCGAATGCAATCCTATAGGAGATGAACCGAGCATGCACAGAACCATTCTGAACGATAGAAAACTTATCGTCTGTGCGCGTGGATTGGGATAGACCAAATAAAATACACCACTTACCGAAACGAAGTTCAAGTCTTTGTCCACGGTATGGTAGAACATAACTCCACCCCGATTCAGTGTGCGGAACTGGAACGAAAACTGGAGCGTGCTTGCCCCGCCATCACGCTCGATTTTCAAAAATACAACGTATTGTTGAGTGGCAGGAAACATTATCACAGTGTCATCGGTGATAACAGGCGGGCAAGTGGTCCCAAGGCGACCCGATCCACCTATACCAAATCCACTGATATTCAGCTGTGACTCAGTTATTGGGGGTCCCCACCACAAAAACGGGTTTCGCTTTGGATATCCAAGAGCCTCATCCCAACGCAGTGTGCCAGCATCTTTTGAAGAAACAATTTGTGAACCAAACAGCGATCGTTGCGCGTCGCGGATCAAATGGACCCCGTTGAAGACTAGCTCTTCGATGCAACCCTTGAAATTCTGACTAACCGTTAGACCACGCCGGTTGGCAAAGAACGGCAGCCCACCTGCAGAAAGCTGAAAGTTTGAAAGATACACCAACCTGAAATACGGCGTGAGGATAGTTACAAGAAGAAAAACAAAACATTTTCAGTAACTTTCTGTGATAGGTTCTTGCAAAACGCAGCCTCCAAGAAGCTAGCAACACCGTCGTTCCTAAGCATCACACGCCTACCTACAATATATGCAATGCCTTCCTAATTCAACATTATATGACTCAAAAGGCTCGTTGTAACAGGAAAGTAAAACTGACAATCATCCAGATCTTCCGTATACGTTGCAATCATTATCACAAAGGTTTCTGAACGCACGAAAAACTGGGCTTAGAGCTTGATGCAGCGGCCTGATGCTGAAAACATGTAAATCCAACCATCCACTAAAGAACTGACGTTCTCGCTATTGGGATTCAGCTGGTCCAGAACTGCTTAGCTATGTACGATTGATATCCTAGCTCTGAGCGCCGGTGGAGCTTGTGGCGGGCGAAACCATTTATAATATCTAGCTACTGACTAATAACCAGTAGCCTGTTCAAAACGCCGATAGGGCTCTCCGGTAGTTTCCCGGGATGAAAGCAAGGACGCCAGTGGGCCACATACCTGTCCAGGGGTCAACATAAAGTTATATGAAGGGATTCAATCCGAAAAATCATTCTTTACATGTCGATGCAGGTATAAATATGCAATGAGCGCAGAGAATAGGCACGAGATGTACCAAACGGCAGGGACGTAGAGACGCAGGTTGCATACATTTCCCGTTCACGTATGAAAACGTACTATTGGAAAAGCAATAAGTCTGACATCTTGGTTCCAGTTAATTAAGTGATAGCACCAGTGGATTAGGAGACTTCAATTTAACGTCACAACACTGTGTCGCGTTACTACAAAATCGCTCAAAAGCTTACGTTTCGATTCATATTCAGATGAATGAATATCGCCGAAAGGTTTCGCCAGACTTGTATGCGATCGACCGATATATTCAAGTTTTTCTGCGCTCGAATGATATGGACGTCATGCCACTGGTCATCATCCAACAGACTACCAGCATCCACAGTGTTATCAGTCGGTTCGGTAGACGAGGGCACAGTCCCTAGATTGACGCTCACTCGTAAACGGCCTCTAAATGTGTCGGAATAAAACGGCACAGACACAAATTACAAGGTGAAAATTTAAGTGGGAACGAACCATCGTAATAACGGTTGCATTTGGGTGAACCACATACAGCTTGGATGTTAGTTTCCTCGATTAGACGTGAGCCGACCGCATATATTAGAATGCGAATACACCACTGCCTGAAAAACGCAATGGGAATTATTCATGTTCATGAGAGATGAATAGGATGAACGAAAGAAAACCACTTAACGCATCCATCTTAACGTTTCTGTCTGTAGTAAATAGGCTGTCGCGGGACAGGAACAAATACGTATATGAAGAGCTTGTGATAAGAATATTGTCCGACATTTCCACCCTCGGTAGTAGCTCACGGCTTAAAGGTCCCGTTCCAGAGAACCTAGTTAAATAAGAATAGTCTGTGAGGCCAATCCTCCGCTACATCGGGTTATCATTGTTTAGTCGGGGATATTGTCACAGTCTGGATCCTCGGAATCTTACAGATAAGGACTTGTCTATAAACGGAGGATGTTACGTTAACTTTGGAAGACTTTCAGACTCCTAACGGGATGCAGTTTAACGCTTGTCTGAAGAGTCTATCTTTAAATTCCTGAAAAGAAACAATCTGAAATGCAATGCATAACGGCTTTTTAATGAGTAGATTGAATATCAGCCCCAACTTGAACGCACGCATACCTTATGTCTACCATCTCATCCTTCTTTTTGTGACATTTTATTCACCTTTTGTTCTATTTCGAACTGGAATTCAGTATGTTCACGGTCCTTCCATCCCAATTAGCTGAAACAATTAAATTACTGTGCCGCAAGTGTGACAGATCAATTATTTGCAAGTTTTCCTGAATACTTATCTATAGACTGAGAAGTGTAAAAGAAATGCAGTTTATTATCCTTCCGAAGCTTTGCTGCCGTGCAAACAGAAGAAAGCACGAGGGCTGAGATATTGTCAGCCCCCCCCCCCACCGCAGGACTGGATAGGAGCCAGGGTTGAGTTCAAACTATGCACATCTCGGTCAGCATCTTTGCAACTTAGCCACTGAACTATCTCGAAATCACTAAAATTGAAGAAAATCTTAGGAGTGCGCCTGCCCGAAAAACCTCAGAACCGGTAGCGGGCTGTCGATGAGTTTTCATCAACCTTATGACAGAGTTGTGCCAAGAAGATTTTTCAAACACCGCTATATTTGTATGCCAAGGACCATCTTGGTAGCATCCGTTGCCCAGTGGCCAATACCAAACACTAGGCTTCATCAGAATGAGGGAAAGTTCATTCACGCTACATAATACCGAGGACCATTCAGTGAGCGTTCCGTCTACCTTTACCCTTTGAATTTCGGACTACTCCCGATGATCCCTCGATAGAATGATTTTTTCAGCTCTGTTACTCATGGAAGGAAGGTTACTCTCGTGTGACGAGCTGCAAATTATGGTCCGCTGCGGATCATGAGGGCACCATGTCAGGTTTGAAGTTAAAAGACATGTTCGTGGTTTAAACCTTATCAGTTTGGCCGAGTGGCTTTTAGTGATTTACGAATGAACATAGTATTGTACGCTGGAAGTTTGACTCAAAAAGTATTCCAGAAATTATCACTTTCTTTAACAAAGGTCCTCTGTAAACTCGAAACTGTCTGAAACTTTTCTGAGCTGAAAAAACATATACATAAGGTTTCCCATGGTTGTTTTCCTGAAAAGAAACAATCTGAAATGCAATGCATAACGGCTTTTTAATGAGTAGATTGAATATCAGCCCCAACTTGAACGCACGCATACCTTATGTCTACCATCTCATCCTTCTTTTTGTGACATTTTATTCACCTTTTGTTCTATTTCGAACTGGAATTCAGTATGTTCACGGTCCTTCCATCCCAATTAGCTGAAACAATTAAATTACTGTGCCGCAAGTGTGACAGATCAATTATTTGCAAGTTTTCCTGAATACTTATCTATAGACTGAGAAGTGTAAAAGAAATGCAGTTTATTATCCTTCCGAAGCTTTGCTGCCGTGCAAACAGAAGAAAGCACGAGGGCTGAGATATTGTCAGCCCCCCCCCCACCGCAGGACTGGATAGGAGCCAGGGTTGAGTTCAAACTATGCACATCTCGGTCAGCATCTTTGCAACTTAGCCACTGAACTATCTCGAAATCACTAAAATTGAAGAAAATCTTAGGAGTGCGCCTGCCCGAAAAACCTCAGAACCGGTAGCGGGCTGTCGATGAGTTTTCATCAACCTTATGACAGAGTTGTGCCAAGAAGATTTTTCAAACACCGCTATATTTGTATGCCAAGGACCATCTTGGTAGCATCCGTTGCCCAGTGGCCAATACCAAACACTAGGCTTCATCAGAATGAGGGAAAGTTCATTCACGCTACATAATACCGAGGACCATTCAGTGAGCGTTCCGTCTACCTTTACCCTTTGAATTTCGGACTACTCCCGATGATCCCTCGATAGAATGATTTTTTCAGCTCTGTTACTCATGGAAGGAAGGTTACTCTCGTGTGACGAGCTGCAAATTATGGTCCGCTACGGATCATGAGGGCACCATGTCAGGTTTGAAGTTAAAAGACATGTTCGTGGTTTAAACCTTATCAGTTTGGCCGAGTGGCTTTTAGTGATTTACGAATGAACATAGTATTGTACGCTGGAAGTTTGACTCAAAAAGTATTCCAGAAATTATCACTTTCTTTAACAAAGGTCCTCTGTAAACTCGAAACTGTCTGAAACTTTTCTGAGCTGAAAAAACATATACATAAGGTTTCCCATGGTTGTTCTAGCTACAAGCTGGCCAAAATCACTTAGATCATCCATATTCTCCGGGCCAGTTATGATCTAGTAGATCCAGCTGGTTTCATCGTCATTGCTATGCCCAAGAATAGGTCCATAATAATAATAATAATAATAATAAAATAATGATAAAAATCCGGCTGCGACACGATTTCGGTATCTAGCTGTTATACCACCCGAAGGAAGAAAGAGGGTTGAGAAGCTGCCAAGTTGCCCAAGCCTAGACAGTGGCAGTCGAGATGTGGAGGTTGGGATCAAATCACGGACCTTCCGGTGAGTAAGTTCACCCTTTAACCAATGGGCTATCTCGCGCTTCACAGGACAGCAGCTGATCTTGTCTGTGCATAGGCCCTTGTCATTGTGATGTTTACGCCACGATAAGACAAATAGTGTAAATGCAGGTTGGCCTAAAAACTGACACGGTCTATAGGGAGAAAAGAGTTCGCTGGTTCGTGCGAAAATGTAAATATGAGTCGAAGCAATAAATTTATTGCACAAAGTCACCGTCGAGCAAACTAGAACTGTGAGCCATTTTTCTTGTATATTCACTCTGCTAACCAAATATGGAACCAAGGGAAACTAAAACAACCTGAACTAAAGTCACCAAATGGGACACAAAAACACTGACCTGAATAGCTCCACGCAAAAGTAATCATTCTGACTGGAATCACCGTATAGCAGTAGTCCGTTGATTTCCTTTGTTCGAAAGCGGAATCGCACCTCATCCACCGCTGTCTGGGTTGCTCGTCCCGGTAGGTCTAACCGCAGATCGATCCAACTAGTACCATCAAAGTGGGCTACGAATGGACCTATATGAATGGACAGCAACCATGTGGAACCGGATCGAAAGCTTACGATAGTCGCAACCAAACACTTCCATCCGTAGGGCAATCAGGTTGTGCCAGCGCTGTGGATTAAGTCGAATATACCGGGCAACGATGGGATACGAGAAGTTATTCATTCGCACACCACTGTCATCAACGTTCCCATCAAATAGCTATTAATCGGGTTTGTGAAGAGGATAGGTCTTACTAGAGGCTGACCTAGATGGTCTTTGATAATAGACCAATGGACAGGAAAATCGGCATCTGTGTACAGAATGTAATAGTCTTGTACCCATTGCCTGGCACCCTGCTTCCCTTGGGTTGCAACACTAATGATAACTTTACGCTTCTTCAGGTCAATCTGAATCCACTGTTGGTCATCCTGATCTAAAGCGACCCAAGCACCGGCCCCTTCTGTAAAGCAAATATTTTGAAGTCTCTGCGGAACGAACTTACTCAAAGACTGATCGAACAAAAAGGCTTCACAAGGGATACGGAAAAATATTGGTTAACTGCATTAAGAAACTGGAATTTACCATCTGATAGATGCAAACGGCCATAGTACGGCATAGTCTGGTCAGAGAACGATGAAGATGCTGTAATCTGGTCGTCTTTGATCCCATTAAAACGGTCAGTCATGCCCAATGGCACAAACGGGTAGTAGTCACATGTTTCTGACCACCGGAAAAAACGAGAGGGGCGAAAGGTTAGAGGTGTTCAAGGATGAGTTCGCTTCACAGTATCATGTATGCCATGCCAAGGCTATTTACTCTCACTCGTTATTCAAAAAATAACAAAACGGGCAAATTATCCTGAAAAAAACAATACTCGTAAAAATGTTGAAAACTTCCTGAGAACCTATGGTCGGTTTCGCCCTTCTTGTGGTTTGTCAGGTTGGCGAACTACGCGATTCTTTCGTTCCACTTCAGCATCAAATTGTACACAACTGGCGGAATACATTTATTCGCAAAGTAAGTTGGTGCTGACGGGTGCCTCAACTGAATGCCAGCCGAATGGTACCATAAACGAGGTGTTTAGCTGGCCACTGTACGCTGAGGATGTCAAAAAACTTTCAGTGTTTGACCACGGATATCTTCGGAGTATTGCCCAAGTCTGGCGGGAACACCAGATAAGCAACGCCGGAGTAAGTCTGGCGGCATTCGGAAGAAATGACTCACCCTCGATAGATGAACTGGTCACACTGCATAGGTTGCGCTGGCTTGGCCACGTGCTGCATATGCCAGTCGACTGACGTTCTCGAAGGGTTCTTTCCGTACAACCACGTGAGTGGTGGAAGAGGTCGGACGATTACTTGGCAGCAAATTATAAAAGCCATTACCAGAAAACTCGGCTGCACTGAAGACCCTGAGACAGGCTACATAAATGGTTAGAGGCATTGTCAGGTATGGCCCAGTCGCGCCCTCGATGGCGCTCGTGCATCCAAGCTATTGCGTTCAATGCATAGCTCCCATCCCAATGCCCCCAGTTAACAGTCCCCTGATAGTGTTGTATTTACGCACCAATTTATCAGCTCCCTCCTTCAATGCGAGATGGCCCAAGTGGTTAGAGCGTGAATTTACTGACCGGAAGGTCCGTGGTTCGAACCGGACTTCTGCCACTCGACAACCCCTGTCAAGGCCTGCGCGACCTGGCAGTATCCCAGCCCTCGTGCTTTCTCCGGGTGGCATGGTAGCTAGGCACCGAAAGGGTGTTACAGCTGAACGACTTATTTTTTTACCACAACTCCCCAAATCATCGAGGAACAGAACCGTGGCAGCTACAACCACTGTACAAAAAGTGCACGGTTCTAACAGCTGACAGTGATGAAGGTGATGAATTTTCAAGTGAATGCACTTTGTCTGTTGCTGAGTATTTTGATCCTTGTTAGCGTTGTATCGATTAGTAGTCCTCGCCTTGAAATTGGCAACCCAATGTCGTAAGAAGGCTTATTCTTGGTGCCGTGGCAGGAGGTACGCCACACGTTTGTAAGATCAGTTTAAACTTTAACAGGATAGCGTTAGAAAGATAAGGCATCTGTTTGAAAACACTATGGGGATGGCGACTAATAAGCTTTTGTCCGCCAAACTTTTGTTCGTAGCGAGTCAGCCGTTCAAGCGTTTTGTTGTGAATCTTCAGACCTGAGAGACAGACGCTTATCCAAGTTGACTAAACTGGAAGACTTAACTATTTAGTATGAAATGCCAAAGCCTTCTCATACGAAATCTTCGCCGTCAATTTACACGTACCTGCAAACCATAATACAATTAACATGAGGTATCAATCGTATACGGACTGATGTGGTTTAAGCTGGAATAGTCTTGGTGAAGGATAAGGTGACAAACTATGGTTGATGGTTATGCATATAACGAATTGGCTAGCATCCTGTGGCTCTAGCAATGCAGAGGAACAAGTACGTTGGATGAATGAACGTCAGAAGCTGTGCTACTGGGCTGCCTCCTAATCTCCTCAAGTTTTCGGAATTCCCATCTGTTCCCGTACCCACGGTTATCTCAGCCACCGATGCCGTCAAGTCTGTAGGAAATGTATGTATACATTACATATATATAGCCTTCTGTTCGTGTGCCAATAACAGCCGATGTCATTAAAAGCGTAATAGCAGTAGGCCAGTTGTTAGAGCAGATGGATGAAGCGAGCAACCAATCTGACAAGTGCACAACAAATGTATGCACGGTACACAAGATCCGCAAATAAGCATCCATTTACTAGCTATTGTTGGAAGTAAACTTGGGTTGACATTACACTATGTTGAGATCCTGCTCTCGACTATCCAAGTGCTTGATGGTTGATGTTTGTGGTTCAATTTATATCAGATGTGTTCAACAAAAGTTCAACAAATGTATTGGCAAGCGCTTGTCTTCACAGCATTTTAGCACGGTCCGTCTAGGTGTGAGATAATCTAGCTGGGCAGTAACTTTATTCCCCATGTGTATGGAATAGCACTGTAAATTTGTCCCAATTGGATGGACCCAACGGGATCACCTTTTTGTTTTACCTAAGATTATCACCTGGATCTGTTTTACATTCATAATCTTCCTCTGTTCGTTCTAACCTTCACCTTAAATTTGTCTCAATGTGATTTTCCCAGGGTCTTTTGATCCCGTATGCGCTGATTTGTCTCACGTTACTCTTGTCCTTTATTATAATCTTAAGATTGTTAACCATGCTAAAGCTAACCGCATGCTGTGATCTGCAATCAGGCATGTTCAAAAAAATATGAATGATTTCTGTACCACGAACCCACATGTTTAGACTCGGGTTAGGGTTTGTGAGGAATGACCCAAGATGTTTTCCGCAATTGATAATACTAGCCAATCCTGTTGTCAGCAAACATCCAGGTAGCACGCAGATGATGGATCGTCAGTTTCACATGCAGCTGATCTTGCATTTAGTCTGATGGGTAATCATCCTCTTAATCAACTCTGAACAGATTACAAGAGATACTCCCTTGTTTTAGTGCACGGTCAGCAACTAAAAAGTGCCAGGCCTGAGTTAGTAAAACCCAGACAGATTTCAGAAGGTAGTAGTAGTAAAGATTAAACAACGAACTTTATGGTTATTAGCTTTGTCCCTTAATCGCGCAGCTATCTCGAACTCAAAAGCATTCAACCAGGGGACCCTATGAATCGAGCACGCCATACAACGCTCTCGTGTCATATAACCAATCTGATCCCTCACCCGAGACCGTTTTAAAAGTTCTGGCAAACAATTTATTATTAGACCTATAAGGGTACATCTACGAAGAGAAAATTGTAATAACAATATGCACAAGTGGGCATTGTATGACGTATCAGACCTTACTAAGGCCTATTCGGTCAACACGAACACACTTATCCGCAGTTTCAAAACACATCATCACTGTGAAACCCGCGTACTTCTCGTGCAGTGGTTAGAGCTATCACAGTTTCGTTTGTCGATGTATTCAATGGCCGAGATAGGTAGCTGTGCATTAGGTGTGGTAGCTGTTATAACCGGTGCGCAAATACAGAGCTGCCGGTAGACTTCCAGTTAGGGATATCTGAAGGGGTGTGTGCTCTTAACGGTTAGGCTGGTGTTACGCCTGCACCACAGGTGATAAAGGTTAACGAAGGCTGCTCTGACCCTCCAAATCTGGATGGAAATATCATCGACAGAGCCACTGAGACTGATAAGGCTGCCAATGTAGACAAATTTTTCTCCTACCTCAATCGCGCCCTTGTATCTCACTTAAGTAAGCACTTGAATGTTATCCTGCTGTTGCTTTCTTGCAATTCAATCGACTCCCGTCGATTGTTGCCCGCCATGTTTAAGTGATGACGGAATGTCACGTTTTTCCCACGGCGGTCAAACGACCAATTGTGGCACCCTACTACATCACCGTCTACTCACACTCCTTCCATCTGAAGCTTTCTTCCACAGTTGACCCAGTTGGTTTAATCACAGCATAAAACAAATACATTTTCTGGGTATATTGCAAGCTAAGATAGGTATATCATAACCGGGTGTTTCTCAGATCGTTTGATCGAAACGCTACTTACGAGAAAGATCTTGAGCAGGTATCGCCTTAAGTACCGACCACCGATTTGGAACAAAGTTGCAGCGCATAATAAGCTTAACGGAGTTTCATACGGGGTTCATCAGGCGTGAGGTTCTCTTGCCTCAGGGCGTAGCTGCGTTTGGACCTAGGGTTGTTACATTGGCTAGCTACTAACTGCTGCTATTACCACAACCTCGGAAACAATTTATCGTTAGTTCGTCCCGTACAAATTGGACCTGCACGATAAATACCTCATTTTCGACTGTATATTTATACATAGTCGTTGAATGACGCTTCAGGTATCACTGATTTGTGTCAACAACACTCCTATCACATGCATCTAGAGACCGTGTAAGTCGCCTGGGATTATATTTAAAAAAAGCGTCACGCCTTACGCAAAGACGAAGAGCGACTGGAACAAACACTTAAAAACGCTGTTTCAGTGCATATAAACCAGATTAAGGCTCTATTTATTATTACAATCCTTCCACGAACTCCTCGTAGGGCACAAAAACAAAGGGTCGAAAAGTTGCGGAAATAGTGATATTCCACCGTTTGTGAGCGCGTGTGTCTATGAACCCTGACGAGTTCGGAGGAAGGACGGTCACCATCTGATGCCCGGTGGACAACCGGTTATAAACTTTGGTCAGCTGGCCAGATCCCATATGAGGTTAAGAAAACCGGAATAAGTGCAGGCGAAATCACACTGAATTGTCAGGCGCCTTCGCAAAAACAGTGCAGCAAGTATGTTTGCAAAAAAATTGAACGAACACTGATCACTCACGCGTTTCCGACTTGTTTACAAATGCCAATAAAAACACAAGATGAATTAGCCTGTGCAAAGCCATGATCTTCAAGTCATTACCGCGGGAGGTTTGCAAACAACCGTCGCGCTGTAAACAAGCTTCATGTGCTTTAGTGCAAAAAAACACATGATCCCAGTTCAGAAAGGTGCTCCGCCGACCGACAGGAACACGTTCAGTCATTTCAGTAGGTAATAGTGATCTCAGTGCCTGAAAAGGACTGAATTGTTTCCCACTGCTTTCAATAAAGAAAAGGTTCTCACTGATAGCCACAAACTCCTCCTTTTGTGATGGCCTTATCTAATAGGCATTGTGAAGCTGCTTCGAGGAATATCAATCGGATAGGTTCCGCATAACAATCAACTTTTGCTGCGACATTATGAAACAAGGTTGAATATAAGTACATTGGTAAAGCATCCTCATATACGCTGGCTTCATTCGAAACCTGGAGGTAAATTCCTTGCTCCAATCACTATACGGTGCTTGTGTGGCCCTTACAGTCCCGGTAAACAAGTCCAAGTGCCACTAATCTGGAGCGTAAGACAGCATGCTCATCATCGTCGGTCATGGGAGCAGTGACAGGGGATATCAGTCGGGGATCTCGTGCTGCGGGTAAAGCCAATCTGGACTAATAGTAGGTTCGGTCAGGGTGGACTAAAGCCCTAGGGGGGTTGAACTTACTTGTTTACCCAGTTAATCCAAAGTCTTACGCGTGGTAATTTGTTCACAGGCGCACACCATTTATAGGTTTTCCTAGTGGTGGACCCAGATAAAATAGTGAAAGAAGGCTGAACAATCAGGCCTCTCTTTTTACTCAACCTGGATTTCGTTTAACGTCTTTTAACACCATGTATAAAGATGGCGTCCCGAGGCTATTCATGCGGTAGTAGAATCACACGGTATCTGTGAATGAGAGGCAGTCTGACGCTGAGCGTTCTTCTAAGTCTGCATCAGTCTAGAGCTTTTGAGTGTTGGAGTTCTGACAGTCGTTATCGTAAGCGAAGAAAAGAGTTGGGTCTGTCAGTATAACCTCAGGGTGAATAACTTGAGGATAAAATGTAAACACCTCTAAACAACGACTTGGGAACGCTATGTTACCGGCGATGTTTCGGAGAAGAAAAATGGGGCAAGGAAATCCACCTCGTGAAATACAGTATACCTTGGGTTTTGTAGCCATGGTATGTAGGGGACTCAGCTATGAGTTTTAACGCAGTCAAGGAAAATGGAACCAAAATGCATCCATCATCATCTAGTTGGGTCATGCTTTACAAGAAAGCAGGTGAATTCGTAGCGTCGAAGTGGTCTCCTACGAACTAGTGCTGCGCCAAAGGTTTACTGCAGTTAGGCATTCCACCAATGCTCGAAGTAGAAAGTAGAGATGAACGACAAGCGAGTGAAATGTGGCGGTCAGATGAAAAAATATGCATAGCATTATCAGTGATGTGGCAGATGACCTTCAGAGCGGAAGGAAGCAAAGCTTAGAAGAGCGGGTTATCCACATTTGAAAACACAATTCAAGACAACATTTGCAGGAAATTAGGTTCGACCCTCTCTTCTCTGGCGCCGGTATCTATTGGAGATCCTCCAGGTCCCGCTCTGGGACTACCGCTGTTTCTGATGTACGTCAACGAATTTCCAGATGTTCTTCTAATTCCATGTCTACCTTTTGCGGACAAATTGAAATCCTTGCGTTCAAATGCCAGTGCCCTCCAGATGGATGCAGAAGCTGCAAAGCAGTAGTCGTTGGACTGGTACCTTCCTCTCAATGATGAAAAGAGCGTCCATATGTCATTCGAAAGGGGCTTAGCGAACGCCTTTGTCGTACATGGTGAGAAAGGACCAGAAGACCTCACGAGTATGGATGCCAAAAAGGATTTAAGTTGTCTCGCTCTCTTAAAACACGTCCTTCTCGTTGCGCCATGAGAAATCGGCCCAAAAGGCATTCGCCCTTCCACGGAAGTTTAGGCACACCTTCTCCCGTATCACTCGAATGGACTTCAAAGAACTCTATGGGGTTTACGTAAGACGGCTCCTATGGATATGCCAACCAATTCGTCCTCTCAGGATGCAAGAAGGGCGTGACCTAATGAGCGTGACCAATAATCTTCGACGAAAATGGTTGCCGTCTCGTGGTGCTTGGAGTATCGTCGCCTCCGAGGAGACCTAATACTTAATTATGGTTTGGCCAACAAGTTTTGATCGCTAACCCAGCAGACAGACGACGGGCACATGGTGGGCCAATTCTGAAGCTTAGGGCGCAAATTTTTATTAGGCAATATTGATCTCATTTCGGGTAGTTGTTGCGTGGACTATCCTTCCCTCGACGGTTGTCCACGCTCCGTCTTCAACCCAGCTCAAAGCACTATTGAACTTCATTCTGTCTGGGTGCTCGCGCTGACGAGGTTGCTGCCCTTCCCTGACAACTTGAAGCGCAGTGCTACAATCTTTTCTCGCCTGTACCTTTCAGGTGAACGACAGCCGCTGAGCAACGAGAACAAAACTGACCAGGCAAACTTGGGCGAGCGCCTCGATACTGTGCATGAATCCGTGAATCCATAAATTCGTGAACTGATCCTCGGGAAGTCTGGGTGAACTGCAGCCATTGCCTAGGCCTTCGTTGGGTCCAAGATATGAGGACCAAGAGTAAATGCCACTGAATCAATGGTCAACTAATTACCGCAAGTTAGCTGGGCAACAACGCACACCGGGTGAGGTTCTCAGAAGAGAACAGGGGGTATCTGAACGACTTAATTCACCAAACACAAATTTCTAGAGGTAACCTTTAATGAAGGAGGGAGATGATATGGGATAGGTGGGTGTTAGAAGCCAAAGGAGCCGCTATTAATGGGCAGATGTAACCTTGCAATATGAGTGGACCGGTCTATTCGGGCTCCGGAATACCTCCCACAGTGGAAGGTCCAAGAAGAGTGTTGAATTACTTCTATTTGGAACTGACGGCAAACTCCTTCCTTGTATTCTTAAGCGAAGAGTAGGTCGGCGTGGAAATAAGACACTGCGGAAAATATCAGCTGCCAGTCAACATTTCGTCGCATGATCTGGGTTCTGTAACACGGTTGCACCAATGGTTCGTGGGCTATAAAACTTGGACTATAGAAAGTGGGTGCAAAACAGTGTCATCGACGGGCTGTGTCTAAGCCCACTCATTAGGGATTTGTCGAAATTATTCAGTTTGAACAGTTGGGGTAACAACAAGATGTAGTAGAGAAATACCTCAAGGTGCACGCTCTGCTTAGCAAAAAAGCATAACACCAGACTCACTAATTTGGTCGGCCAAAAGCATCCCAGTGACTAGTCAACCGTTGAGCACGGAAACCGGAAACCATTAATCAGGGTGCGTTACTTTGAACGTTTGAGTTTTTAGAAGGAATCATGGGAACCGTAACTGACGATGGTGAAGTGTAAATAACAGTTTACCTTCCGAAACACTAACCAGCTTATTTTTTGAGAAGAGGTGAGTAGTAGGTTGTTCAGAATATCACCAACAAAACCTTCTGATTTTTCTTTTAATGGTCATTTCCAAATATGCTTTTCCTCGTTTAGTTCACCCCACTATGCACGCTATCAGTAGTAAACTTCTATCAAAGATATGTGCTGATTCCCTATTTCCATTGGTTGACATGATCTGCATGAAAGTCGGTGCACCCCGGTAAGGAGCACTGGTTATGATTTCTCAAAGTATACAAGCGATCGTTGCAACTGCACCTGTCTCGGTTGAAGGTACTCGATCATCCAGCGCTTCATTGAATACGGCCTTGAAAGTAATGTTGACTAAGCGGGCTGCTGTTTACTTTCGCACCTCCCTTCAACCTGAGCACCAGCATTGCTGACTACGACCAATTGCCGCAGTCAATATTGATGAATTTGGATGCTTCCGTTCTTCACAAATCGGAGTTCCCGGAAGGTCTTGTCACATTGGGACCCGAAAATCCTATCGAGGAAAGAGATGCTATTGTCCCTAGGGAGCCTATGATAAATGCACTTCGGTACTACATGTCGTGCCGTTTAGCGTGTTTTCATTTATGCGTAGTTATTTGTTCGTATACTTGTTACACTTTCTTGATCACAGTCTTCTCAGTGTCGATTTACTTAGACTGAAATTAGATTTTTCCGCCGCAATGTGTTCGATTGTATGCAAACTGTTTTTGGGTTCACCGCCTCAAACCAACCCTTACTCAACCGTATGGTGTTATCAGTAGTGCACCGGGCCAACGGGGCTCTGTTGGATAAATTATCTAGAAAAATTGCCCAATATAATATTTAAATTTAATTTCACTCCAGGAAACTGGGAAGAAAAAATAATCAACTGTTTTGCGGATGTACACTACCCAATGAGCAAAACATCTGTGAAAAGAATTTCTCGTTGTTCTCCTCAAAACAAACTGTGTCCTCACAATTATTACCTCACTTATGACCGTACAGTTAAGCATCGTCCATGAATGGAGTTTTATGTATCACTGATTTTTGTCGATAACACTCGCATCGCATGCATGTAAGTCACCGCAGATTATATAATAAAATGCACTACACTTTAAGCAAATACAACAGGCTAGTTGACAGCTACTTGTGTTCTTTCTGTATCAACTGAAAGAACACGATGACTGTTATACACAAGTCTTTGTCGGTATTACCACAACCTCATAAACTATCCTATTGGAAATCTACCACTAATATACTACGAGTAAACTTAGGAGTAGTACGTTCATTTGATTCGGGCCCCTCTGGGACGTAGAGGTGAGGGTTTTTAATGAGTGTGACAAATGAGGCTCGTGGTGCCGGAGATCATAGTAAAAACAGTCAAATTCAGCACAGACAACCGGGAAATTGCCGCTCTCTGGGACCTGAGAACCAGTGTGTTAATTACAACGCAATGAACACACCGCTACGCTAACATCGCTAACTGCGAGCTGTTTTGTGTCGTGCCTATGGAGCAAGATGACTGTCAGTAGTATGTACGTATATGGTGTACATTGTTTCAGCATGTTCTTGGAGTATGCTGGCACAGTGAAGTCACATAGGCTATCCCCACCGGAAGATTGCACACCAACAAGTTGACCTGATGTTGACCAAGG